TCATTCACTTTCTATCGAGAAATTTTACGACTTACTACAACTTACGTTGAGTCGAATGTTTTTGGACCAATAGTCGCAGCTTTTGATTATATAAAATTTTTCGAATGGCAGTGGGTTATATAGAATACAGTCCTCTCAAACTTCTCTATCCCACCCATACTGTACGCAGATGTCACTCCTCATTCAAAAAACCTATTCACTTCCATTAGATTCCCGCTCGCGCCACAGGCAAGCTACCCCTATCCACTCTTCGCCCCGTATCTCCCTCCCTCGTTCTTCGCGTCTCTCTGCGTCTCCCGTCTCTAGACGTTTCTTGAGGCGTGATTGCGCAAGATAGTAGAGTTTTGATTTCGCTGCTGAATTGTGATTTTGCTGTCTTGCGAATTCTGGATCATGCCAAGGTTGAATAGTCCGGAAACTTCGTTCTATCCAACCTTATATTTTTTACAATTTGTTTTGCTTTTTGAACTGGATTGTATCTTTTTTTTAAAGTCTGCGATTGTGCTAGGACTGTCTCGAAGCGGTCAGTCAGAGAAACCATTAAAATGACTTCATTTTGTATGCGAATTGACTTCATCTGCCTAACCAAGAAATGTCGTGCGTGAGCTGTGAGATGTGCGAGCTATTAGGCTGGTTGTTGCACTACAATTGATGAACTTTGATTTTAAGGGGGTAACAAGAGCTTCGCTCTCACTTCTTCCGCTTTCCTTGTATATTTCTCTCAGAATTACCCTAAACAACGATGTTGCAATTTTTATGAAGTAAGCATGTGTGATCAGTCCCTCGTTGCATGTGAACACCTACTGTTCTGTTCGTCGACGTCATCGAGCGACCCGCTTATCAGTTACACAATTCTGCAAAGTTTTTACTCTTACGCATGTCCTTGAGAAAACGATGGAACTCTTTCTCTGTGACTGCATCTACTGGACGGAGCAAGAACTAATGCATATCACTCAATGATGCAACGAGAGATATTTTAGATTGTAACCGTAAACGATATTTCTGACACTCTGAACTCTGCTCAACTGCGAGCCCTGATAAGGATGAATCGCGGAGTTTTCGACGTTGGCCAGGTCCATCTCGGACGTTCTCGCACATCTGATTTTCATCCGGAATCCAAGCGGTGCTTTGAATGCGTGTTGCCTGTACAATGTAAGAGCTGAATTGGCGAGTGTGGATTTGTGAATCGAGGAAGCAAGGGACACAGAAAAAAGGATTCTAAGAGGAGGATCCACCGAGCATAGCTTCGCCACTCTTGTCAACGGAATGACTCGAGATGAACGAAGTCGCCAATTATTTGATTTACCAACTAGTGCTCAGTAAATGGTATTCTTGGTATGATGTATAAGTAGTCAACTGTAGTGACCTAAGAACAGAAAGAGCAAGCCACTATATATGTCAGAAAGCTCCACTATCCCTAGGAACTGGCACGATTTTGCTGGTCGATAGTTGAAGCAAGTGTTTTGCAAAATGTGGAAGCAGCACTCATTTATCGGGATTGTGGTAATAGGAGACGAAGACGAATTCTAACTATTCTACGGAGTAGATCGAAACGGAGAAGGATGGGGGTCCTTAACAGATTATTCACTGGAGAGGGAATCATCATGGGTTGTTTCCGGTAATCAAGTGCATAGCAATATTTAAAAGGCATATGAAGGAAATAGAGCAAAGCTCAAGAACTCCGAAGCATCTTCTTTGACTCGAGCTGCTGGATAACCGATCCCGATTTTCAGAACATGGATAAGTTATCTCAAAAAGCTCGTTTATTCGATGGGAAACGTTGCTTTGGAAAGCTGGTTACCGTGATACATCCTGTATGTCATCCACTCCTTCTAAAATCTCGAACTTTTTTGGGTAAGTGAACACTCCATGGCGCATCCAGTCCACATCTATCGCTAATTTCTCTCCCATAGTGCAAATATCGGAAATTGAGAAAATATGCGAGACTCTGTTTTTGCTCCTTGCACTTTGTGGTGTTGGACCCACGCCCTTGACCCTATCAGTGTACTTTCTATTTTGTGTAAGATTTTTGCCCCAACGAGGGAAAACGAGGACTGCTTGGATGAAGCACCTTGATGCTCACTTCACGATATATACGACAATACATCCATGAAGCGCAAGTGGTAGAGCCTGTTGGCGCTTTGGAATGCGCCTCGCATCCCAGTGTTTCAAATACGTATGTAGCCTATGCTACGATTTGTGGTGATCAGCCGTTGTACAAGTGGGTGCCACGATTCTTTTGGAAAAGCTTGGTCGGCCTGGGCGTATATCAGTCTTGGATTCGATCACTGGGCCATGTGTGTGTTAGCCTGTGGTAGTACTCCTATTATTATGTATTCCTACATTACTTCAGAGAAACCTTTTAAATGCCTATAGGGTTCACAAAAGGAGTAACGAACCCTGCCATCATTTCTCCCGTTTTCAACATCCCCACAAAGGCTAATATCATTTTGTCAACTGTAATGACTTGATAACACAGAACGAAGTTTGTTGTCGTGAAACCTACGTATAAGGAACATGGAACCGTTTGCCAGTACGTCACGTATTCTCTGGAATAGCCCAATGCACACAGAAATCAAGGCTGTTGTTTTTATATCATTTGGCACTTGTTTACGCAGAGTGATTTCCTAGAAGGGTTCGAAGAATAATTCGTTCAACGCAGTTCGTGAATTCCTACCACGCAATCTGGTCTAGAACGCTTTTCTTCGAAAATTAACGAGTCGCTGCGAAAAAAAATCGGCAAAAAGTAATGGCAACAAAAACACCGCCGTCTCGAAGGAGAAAGCGTTTTTTGGTGGTTCCGTAACAGTAAGTATCATCATGACGCAGTTCAATCCCAGTCGAAAACGTATATTATTCTACTGAGTAGGCGTAGGCCTTTGTGGAAACTATTGCAAGAATAAGGGAGCTACTAAATAATCGATTCCTATCATATAAGCTGTAGTCTATGAAATGCATTTCTTCATCTATATTGTTTCCTGGGCATTCGAGTGACATGGTTTTTGAGTAACCTATAGGTTTCCTATTTAAGCTTCAAGAAGACCCTCCGCCTGCAACTAATGCTGGTGCTGAAAATTAGTAAACAGAAGACAAATCTAAAGGAGTAATTGTATTTGCTATGTTGTAGCTAGCATGAGTTTGGTACAAATTACAAATTTATGTTCTTGTATTGTGTCAATTTAACTGTTCTTTCTGCTTCACTCTGCTTTCGACTTTAAGCAGCCCTTGGTACCGAGGAAAACGGGAAAGGGTTTCGTAAACTCTGATGGACGTACCATATTCTTCAAATGTCAATAAAAGGAACGTGGATTGGGATTACTTACTCGTTACTTGAGAAGGCTACCGTTGACTCTTCAAGTGTTTCCTCATCACAAAACAATATGCAACGGAGTCTGGGCAGAATGTGCTTGAGACAAAAATGTGGATAAGATGTTGATGGGTGCTTCCCCATACAAATTATTCTGGGAAGTAGATGAAACCGTTTCTGTTCCCGTTTTGGTTTTCTACATTTTCACGAAAATTTCCCTTCAACGTCATCAGTGCAGCGTGACTCGACGAAATTTTTTCGCTTCTTCGATGTTTACCTAGAAGAATATAGACGATAGGAGCCACCTGACATGGTGATGGCTAAATCGTTCTCCGTGTTGATAAGTGCTGTATACTCGAATGATCGATTATCATGGGCAATTATCATGAATTGTAACACCGGTTCGGCGTCGGTGGGGTCGTCGCCAGCCACCTGACTGGTTGCTAGTGATCGAGGCCTCGCCGTTGGCCGATCGTCAAAATGTCCCCCATCGATTGCCTGCCGAGTTTGCACTTGTGGGAATTTGACGTAATCTGAATCGTCTATTCCACATGGGGCTTGCAAAGTGCAACCAAGGATCGTCCAGGTCGTTAAACTAAATAGGAAACTAAAGTGCAAGTTGCGGTCGAACTGTTCCGTCCACAACCGAAAAACCAAACGGTCGAGATGGCAGAGCAGCGAACAGCTGATCCTCAACCGTAGGAGAGAGGGATTCAAGGAAAAAAGCCAGAAACAGCCAAAAATAATCCTTCTGTAAATAAAAACCTACTGTCGAATCCTGTATTACAGAACGTATGAAGATTCCAAAACCTTACTTTTTCCAAGTTATTTTCAGAATTGCTTGAGGAGTCGGATATCCAAGGGTTGGAGGAGTTCCTGATGGGTGTCGACGACGAGAGGACCAGAGAAGCAGTGAGTTTTTTCTACAATAATTCTTGTATATTTTTCCAGCGGGGTTTTTTCAGGAAGAGCAGAAACCGCAGTGTGTTTATAGTGGAGTGGTAAAGGGGCATTGATCTCGAATGTGCCCCCTTCCCCTATGGTCCGTTGGTCGAATCGCGTCCCAGGCACCCATTAGCTTTTAGAAACAGATTAGTTATTCCCGGATTTGTCTAAAAGAATACATTGGGCTCCACAGACTAGACTTGCTGGCTCATGCACATCGCAGCGAGCGGAAGCGGATCGGTATTCCTTTGCTAGGAAAAGTGGAATGCATGGTACAACCTAGAGGAATTGTTCAGCAGAAACCATTTCCACTACAGCTACTGATGGCTTGATCAATGAACTATCTGGTTGTGACTTTAGAAAGCTCTCATCTGTGGATGCTAAACATCAACAAATGAAAAACATTTCGGGTGCTGTTTGTATTGCGCCATGCATTTAATCTTCACCTAGAAACAAAAATGTCCTCTCAAGCTTGTAACTAACGAAAAAACGAAGCTGCAGCTTATTCACATCTGCTAGGTTCATGTCTTCATGAATTTTCATGGGACTTCGATGTTTATACTTCGATGCATTGGTGGGAAGTGGGAAATAAATTTATATGGGTTCGAGGCGGCCTACGGGCGTTCTAGTAGAGCGTTGATCCAGGGAAGGCATCCAATTTGTAGCAGTTTTACTCTGCGGTAAAATGTGAAAGCTGGACTAAAAAAATGCTGTAATGTAATGATATTTCTAGGTGATCGAACTATTAGAAGCGAAGCAGATTGCCGATGAAAAGCAGGCGGAAATGCGTATGCGACGAATCATCAGACAGCTTCCACCCGATGTTATTACACATTTGTTTGAAATCTACAAAAGTACCTTTCCTAGATGACTTCTCTAAATGTGATTTGTTAGTTTTGTACATATGTATACGGTGTACCGAATCGTATTTGATACGGTTCGTTTTGATGGATGGACTTGGCAGTCTCGAAACAAATAAATTTATTATTATGAAAACAATTGTGACCGATTATTTCAACGGTTTAGTGCTGGAACCTGCATGAAAGTTTTTAGAGGACTCATCAAATAAACGATTGGTCTTCACTGCCAAGAACTATTTACAGACAAAATTTATAACGACTTAGCGAACAGATGAAAAAAATCTGTCTGAAATGATATCATATCAAATGATGTCTATACCCCCATGTGAGCAGTGAACGCATATTTGTCATTTCTAAGCACCCCTAGCCATAATAATCAAAAATTGTGTAAATTCAAATTAGGGCATTTCTTACAGAATTGCTGCCCTGATTGGGAGATCCAATATGTCCGGGCAAGTACCACCTCTATAAAGCATCCCGCCCATCCTCCGCAGCAGATCGAGTGATGTGTTCAACATAATATACAGGATGCGGTAAAATTACTGAATTTAGAAATTCGATGGATTTTTGAAATCGAACCTCAAAACAATTCTAACTAACAAATTTAGCTACTACAAACATGACAATATAAAATATGGTGACAGTTTTTGGAATGGTCACCTTCAGCCTCCACACAGCCCTTCAAACTATGTTCCCTTCGGATATGGCACGCAGGCACTGTTCATCAGTTTCGTTGCAGGATTCTACATTGATGGGGTCCAAATTTGGACATCTAGTGAGCAAGCTTATCTCCTTTTGATGGCTCACGCATAATAATCTATCGAGTTAAGACTGGGTCACCGGTGGGCTTCTTCTAAATAGAAATTGGCCAGCGACTGGAGCATTTTCCAGGATATCCTTGTAAACCTCTGCGTTGGTTTTTACGCCAGGTTGGACGTTTTTCAAGCCACGTTTTTCCTGAACATGTGACTCCTCCCCAACCATAACATTTAGGCTGATTTGCACTTTCCTGGAGTCTTCATTTGACGGTAACATCAGTATGTGAATCCCCAATAGTGTCTTCATTTTGGGAGTTGAAGACTCGATTCGACACGAAGACCTTTCATCACTGTACCACCGTGAATCGTTGCAGCAAACCTTTCAACATCTCCCAATCTCCTCTTCTTTGGAGTGCCCGTCGGAGTTGGCTGTTCTGCAACGATGAGGGAATTTTTAAAGCCTCCTCCTAACTTTCCTTCTTACTGATTTTTCGCTGATTCATACGTCTTTTGCCATCTGACCCGTCGATCTCCTGGCTTCCCTCCAGAGTTATTCTTCCACGGATTTCGCAATTTTTGATCTGTTGCTGTCGTAGGACGTCCTCTAGATTTCTCGTTTGCTTGCCGGGTTTATGAGGTTTGACAATAGCACTTTGTGAGTTGAAACGTCTAGTCACTTTATACTCGAGTACGTATAAGTTCCAAAACGTTCAGATAACATAGTTCAGGCGAATGAAGGGGAAAAATACCCAGGAAAATTATAAAAATTGAAAATGTTTAGGTGCACCACTAATTTTACCGCACCCTGTAAGCTAGCACATAGTCCTGAAATGAGTAGAAAAAACTCCATCCGATTCTCAGAAAGAGAGTGAAATATTCCAAAAACTCGCACACTCACCGGAAGGGGTGCTAGAAATTTCTTAGAAACTCTTTTTTTGAATTCGATCAGAATCCAACGAACCTTTGTACCAGGAATCTTCTTTATAGGCAGAATCCAATAGATAGCTTCTAAAGGTGCCACCGATTCCAATAGAACCAAATTATGTGTACGCTCCGAAGAGTTCTCAATTCTCTACCCCGGTCTTCCTGAGTTTCCTAGTTCAAAATTGGCTCTTTTCCGATCTTTCATGGCAGAGCAGAGGCCACGTCGGCCAAAGAAATCAGTAAGACCAATTATGACTCAATCCTATTTGTTCTCCCCGGGAATGAGTTTAGACTGATTCATTTTTTTCTTGTTCCATTCGTTCCAGACGACCATATGCGAGACCTTCATCCTCAGAAGAATCAGCTTCCAATCTATTGAATCATAGAAGAAATTGTTTATAAAGCCCTAAAAGTGGTCCAGCCGATCGTGCAGCCCCGTGGATGGTTTTTGCTGCAAATTGATCCATATCGGCTGTCATCTTCAGATGCGGTGATCCGGTGCGATTCTTTAGGTTCTCTGAACGCCTAGTTCTCTCTTTAGGTAACATTAGGGGAGAAGGTCTGCACTTGATGAACGCCTAGTTCTCTCTCTCCCCCGTGATGGGCGTTCAAGGTGAACAGCACTGGTCATATCTCTTCTGACCGCTTAATTTTATCATTCAATTTTGATTTTCGTTGTTTTCAACTTAATCAACACTCGTACTTTGGCTATTACTGTGTTCAATTGGAATGATATCAAAACACAACTCTAGTACCGTATACGAACACATCGAAAAACGCGTATTACCTGTTGCCTACCCCGAACTTGGCCAACATCGTTCAATTCATAGTTTTTCTATTGTTTACACCATTCGTGGTTTTGTTTTGAACAAAGCGATTCGGTCGTTCATGGTTTCGTTCACTTTATTGAGTTCGACTTCCGCACCATTTCAATTACTACCTTTTTTCGCTTTACAGTAGCCGCCAGTAAATTTTTACAAAGAAACTGTTGATATGGTGAAACTCACTGTTAGCCAAAAACATTCCACGCACTCCTAAAGATTTTCTAACTAAAGTGAGAATGTTGTGATGCTATTTATACGTAGCTAACCAGATTACGGTAGCCCGAAAATCGCTATCCCACACCAATCACGTTGCTCCCAAGGTGTCGTCTATTACATATTATATATAGTCAATTTTGCTAGGACTTCCCTCCTTTTCATAGCTTGCTACCTTACTTTTCTCCCTTGAAAGGCCTTTCAGGACTTCAAGCAAAATTTCATTGAATTTCAACGAATCTCTGTTTATTTTGGCAGCCATTCTCTCGATCTCTAACCATTATGCCGTAAATCCCTACAGATTCCTCCGAAAATATTATCTGCGAGTATATTCTGGGGAAATTCCACCCATATATGAATTGAAGAATTTGTAATAGATTAGTATAACTGGTATAACTGAAAGTTTATTTTACCGGAACTTGGTAGACGTTAGGTTCTTCAAAATCAAAGATATACTCACTATGCCATAGTGTAGTTACTGTAGTTACACCGTCGTTCCAACACGGAAGTTTCGATAGTCAGGCTCTTGTAAATTCCTTTGTCTTCAAAGCCATACACGCCTGCATCTCACCATTTTTTTCCTCTCCAGACAGCCTTCTATCGGAGTAGTAATATTTTTTCAGTTTTCGGTCATGCTATACGTCTAAATGAGTTTTTCTATTTTGACGAAATTCCCTTCCTTCGCTTGGCACACGTGCAATCACACAGAAGCGATAACAGCCCAAGAGCTTAGTCTCCTTTTCACCGTATCTATCTACAGTTTGTTACAGTTCAACTAGCTATAGTATAGCTCGAAGTGAAGTTAAGGCTGAGATGTGTGCCCCTTTTATCAAGGTTTTGCCTGGGTCCTGAAAAGTGTCTAGGCAACCCATATAGTCGCTTACTCAATTTGTAGGCTTTGCCGGGTAACCGGTCAATAAGGAAGTGAAGAAATTGTCTGAATCTTCTTTCATCCTGCTGAGTCTTTTCTTGAAATCGAGTTTATTGAAATGAGGATATACCACTCCCTTCCGACGAAAAGTCGAAATCCGATGCTCTCTAGGTAGCAACTAATGTTACTCTACTTGTTCTTTCTTTTGACACCCCGTGGCCTCCTGTATGGATAACCATGAAGAAAATTAATCTTTCTCATGTTTTTTTTATTTCGCGGAGCGATGGCCCCCGCTAGATATTTTTGAATAATGGGAACCGAATGATCATTAGTATTCCATTTGAAAGTGCAGTAGTATTTCAGGAATGCACTTGTACTTGCTATGTACACTGTTCCGCAGTGTTGCAAATGTTAGAAGAAGTGCACTTTACTTTTATTCTCAGTCCAATCAGTCCGGAAGTAAAAAACCAAACGTCCTTCTGTACAGGAATGGCTATCGAAAGATCTCTGCGTAGTAACCGTAAACGTCTTCTCTCTGATTAGCCTTCAACGACCAGAAAAATTACATACTGTAGATAGAAATACTGCTAGCAAAGGCAGAGATCACTATTAAACCGGTCTCTGATTTTTTTCCCCCTCGAATGAACCCGTGACCCCAAAGATAACACAAGGAGTGTTGTCATAAGGCCTAGACTGGGCTTAAAATGATCTCAAACCGGCTTAACCAGCGCACAACCAGAGGTGGACGAGTTTTCGTGGCGTTGTAGAGGCTGTAGAGGTTGCAACACCGGCACCCGGGCCCGATTATCCCTGACAAGCCGCGTACAAGGTCGGGCTGACCGCTTTACTATCAAAAGTGTTTCAGAGTTTTCTGCGCCGGCTTTAATATTCGATGGATGCAGATGTAGGATGCACGCAGGTAGCNTTGTCATAAGGCCTAGACTGGGCTTAAAATGATCTCAAACCGGCTTAACCAGCGCACAACCAGAGGTGGACGAGTTTTCATGGCGTTGTAGAGGCTGTAGAGGTTGCACCACCGGCACCCGGGCCCGATTATCCCTGACAAGCCGCGTACATGGTCGGGCTGACCGCTTTACTATCAAAAGTGTTTCAGAGTTTTCTGCGCCGACTTTAATATTCGATGGATGCAGATGTAGGATGCACGCAGGTAGCTTACTGTAGCAAAGTCTACGCAATGGCACACACAACTGAACATCTCGTCCACATACCCCTTCCATACAACTTTTAGCCTCGTACGTCTCCTGATTTTACTAGTTTCTGAAGCCAGACATATCTCTGAATGCGCCGATTTTCTTTCTTCGCCATTTTCTTTTGCTCTATTCTGGACTACCACATCCATTACTCATCTGAAATAGGTACCCCAAAATAACCACGAATTGGGCTCTCAAGATTCTTTTCAAAGCTCACCTAAGAGTTCAGGCCATCGTACCTGGCAAATGAATGTTTCTAATCAAACCGATACATCGAGCTTGGGTGTGAATACCATTGTGACTACTCACATTCATCCCACAAAACCACGATTGGCTGAGTTAATCCACCATCAAAGAGATTCTAACACAACCATCTACTTCGATGACAAGTGGCACACCCGCGATTTCCTTTAACCCTTTCTCAACACTTTTCAGGTCGAATACCTTGAAAATCTTGAGAGTAGTCCTTCTCGGATCATCTGTCACATCGAATTCTCGTCGTCATTGTGCGCTCGGCCGTCAGGACCGTTCGTCTTCCGGTTACGTAATGAATCACAGGGAAATCTGTTTCGAGAATAAATGAGCGGTCTATAGCAGGACGACGTACTGTTGCGTTTTGGGGGAAGGCGTGACTACGTGGTCTCTGTCTAGACCTTTACTTCAGGTTATCATCATTGTTCCAGAGTACCGATGAAGAACTCGTTCTCCCCTATCCGATGTAATATCACAAATTTTGGTCAGTTTTACCGCCTGTAACAGCATCAGCCGTCACGTTCGCTTCTGCATCCATCCCACAGAGTCGCACTCCGAGGAAAAGTCTCTCTTCAGAAGCAATGGACTGGACTTGAACTCACCCGCGTTCTGTTTCTCATGCTTTTCAACATAGTTTTAATTTGTGCCTATATATTGAATACTCGCTACTAGAGGACTAGCCCTTTGCCGAGCACGTGTCTAGATAATGAACGACCTACAGGAGTCTCTTGGTGTTCTTGTCATATCGGTTAAACAAGCCTTCTCAAGAACGTCGTCCGTCGTCGCCCAGGAACCATGTATCATTTGAATGCCTCTATTTTCAGATTTTCCCAAATCATCCCATTATGAGTTCATCCGAAAAGGGTTCGTCACCTGAGGACAAAGAACTCAAGGATGTCGCATGGATTTGCGGACTGTTCGCTGTGTTGTTCGCCTTACTGATAAGGTTGTCCGACAGCAGTAAAGGATAGATTGAGTACAACAATTACATTAGAGCATAGAATTCAGTGTTTACAATTATATTGATAGACAGAGCAGTAATTAGTAATAAATATTAATGAAATAGTTAAGTTATAGAATTACAGATACTTTTCTGGGACTACGTTTATACTGCCTCCAATAGCAGCCTTCATATTCCATCAGTTCTATTGGAGGAGACGAAATCTTCCACCTGGACCAGTTCCTCTCCCACTTATTGGGAATACCCTATCGGTACGTTTGAACTTGAAGGTTGGGAAAAGTAAATCAACAGTCAGGTATCGCAAGTTTTCATTTGTTTATTGCATGTGCACCAGGTACATTGACACGTGACAGGATAAAAATTATCAAAACAATTACACAGCCCAGTGGAGAAACCTAGAAGACTAAAAGAAGTGGCAGGAGAAACCATAGAGAGTAATGAAGGAGCTCGACCGAAGGATTTGGAATTCGAGTGATCCACTGTAGGCCTGAAGTTAATAATAAATGCAACGTTTTTCCATGTTGAGCTGATCTCAGTGCATGATCGCGGAAATCCCGAAGCTCAAAGGAGCTCGTAAACTTAGAAAAGGTCTCTAACCTTAGCATTAGCTCTAAAACACAACGTTCAAATTCATGATCTTTGCTAGACGAAAGGTGGTGGCGCCATGCAAAACAACCCCACAACTTCTTTTTGGTCTGTTCACGAGACAACCCTGTTCTTGCTCCCACGAGAAGAGAATAACTATTGTTGAGTAGTCTGACTGTATAGTTTTGTACGTGAAATCCAAAGCTCATGGTGATATCTCTCCGTGAGCTCTTTTTCACAGCTTCCAGTCTCGAAATGACTTCCCTAGAACGAGTATAAGTGGAAGAATGAGTTCTGTAAGTTTAAGGAAAAGCCTAGGTCCTCACCACTGAAGCCCTCAGTAGAAGGAAGAAAGGTGCTCCCTGTTCTGATCTTTACTTCATAGAGTAGAAATTCAAATTTTGTGGTCTTCTCCTGCCTCCTTCAATCATTCATTTGTTGAGCTCTCACGTAATAGCCCACAAAAAGAAGTTACATAGATGGTGGTATTGTTCAGAATTATCACTATGGTGCAGCTCCTGGGTGAGACGTCTTATGAAACGCATTCCAGCTAGCAATCAATTACTGGCTGACCAAAAATTGTCCTAGAGGCAATTATTAGTTGGGAAAGACAAATTGGAAGTATTAGCCGTTTCGTCAAGTTATCTGAGAGCTCTTCCTTGTCTTGACTCCCGTAACTAGACAGCGCTACTAAGTGGCGTCGACCTGCCACGGATCGAGACTGGGAAGAGCTCCTAGATACTAGTTTATTTCTGCAAAAAGGTCACTTGTCATGGAAGGAATTGTTGACGCCATCTATTCGAAGGAAGGATATGCCAAGTTGGAAAAGGACATACGCAGCGTAACCGCATTCCAAAGCGCTCACCAAAAGTGATGTCTCCGACGGAAAGTTTGGGTGGTAGCTCCATCTTTGCAGACGTTCTGGAATTCATTTACGGCACAGATGCCTCTGTAAGATTTTTTGGATCAGTCCTGCGCAACGGATGGCGCCGATAATTTGTTCCCACTTGTCACCGAAAGAATCTGGCTACGTAAAGGCGTAAAAACGGTTCCGCTTTCAAATTTGAAGACTGTTCATAGGCATCATGATAGATAGAACATGAAGCGACTAAGGTTCAAAAAGAACCTCTGCTGCGACGGAGATCATTTAAACGATACCAACGTGGATAGAACACAAAAAGGTCAGAGAAACGCGTTTGGCGTAGGTAATGCGTTTTTAAAGAAACGTTCGAGTAAGTCACTTCATGGGTGTTGAATTGTAGGCGAAATAAAGTTTCGCCGAATTGGGCCAAATCAGCACTTGTGCTTTAAGCGGGTGTCTGAGTTAAAGGCACTGTTCACGATAAAAGTGGTTTCTGAGATTTACCACAGGATGAATTCGAGGCCCCCGCGTATACCATATCTGGCGCTATTAGGTCGGAAAAGGGCCCAATCAGGGATTTATAAAGATTTGAAGATTGGCCCGTGTGCAACCTCGGACGAGTTTCACTGGCATTGTAGAGGTTGCACCGACCACAAGGGAACCCATGTAGGGAGTTCAAACAACTTGCTATGACTCATAGCGACAGTGAAAGGCAATACTATACAACTCTAGCTTGATGTAGTCAGTTCTTTGTGCAATTGCAATAACAAAAATCACGCCTGAATATCCCTTCCATGTTATTTCCGTCATGGCAATCTCATCCAACCTCTATTTTCCCTACTTCTAAGGAGCCATATTTCTCTCGAAATCGGCGAATACCCTCGCTTTCTTCACTACCGATGGACTATTCCCAACCTATACTCCCGCTTTCCGAATAAAAACGGGTACCATAAAATTATCGTGAACTGGGCCTCTAAGGGCAAAAGGTTGTGTCTAGTCCGAGGTCGGACTTTTGCCATCAACCCAAGAAAGATGTGGAAAGATTCGCGTCAAGAGGTGCAGCGATAATCAGCTGTTATCAGAAATGAACCGAACGAATCAAACCATTAAACATTTGTAGTAGTCGTGACTTGTAGCACAAATGGACATGAACATTCATTTAGTGATCACCAAACACTTTCAGATCGATATGAGAAATCCAGCGAAAACGTTCAGTTCATGGCATGCCCTCTATGGGCCAATCTACACTGTATGGTTACCACATCCAATGATAGTTATGGCGAGCCACGAAGTGCTCAAGGAAGCGCTTATCCGCCAAGGTGAGCGCTTGCGACTTCTCGCTACTCCGTAGTTTCTAAGCGGTCGCGCCATTCAGGTCCTGCATTCGCTGGTCGCCCTTCCGGTTATATATGGTCAATGTTCACGAAAAATCCTGAGCATGGAGATGGTATCATCCTGTGCGAAGGGGAACGGTGGGAGCATATTCGCGAATTTGCCCACAAAATATTCAGGTGAGAATATACATTGGAAGTGTTGGTTCGTAACTGGGATTTGGTCGACTGGAAACTGTAATTCTACTGTTTAAGAAACTTTGGTCTTGGTCGAACACAGATGGAGGAGAAAATCATGGACAATATCAACTATATGATTGCACATATTGATGGGAAATTGCAAGGAAATAAGGTTTGTAAAATTGTTATTTAAAAGATTAGGAAAAGAGGGTAGCCTAGAGGAGAGCAATCACTTTTTGAGTAGCTCTGAAATTCAACTGCTACGTAGGGAAAACATATTAGATACAAGCAAGCAGTCTGATGGATCTTATGATAGACATAATCCTGAAAAAAACATACTACTCGAAAGTAACCGTGGTCATCAGAAGTTGTAGAGTCCGCTGGCGTCGGAATATTGGTACTGGAGGTAAGCAAACCAGCCCGTTTGGCCCTTCTGCTGGATGCATTTGCTTATTCTGCTATTCTATTTAAGGGTCTCATATCCACTTAGGGAAAGTACGTGGGGAGTCGCTTTTAAATCTCAGGTGGAGGACTTTCCCTTGTCAATATGTGGAAGACACTGATCGAATATATGAATCAACTGTTAAAGCACCCCATACTGTCACAGTTGCACGGCAGCCCTATGTACACCGTATAAAGAACTTCACATGGGAATTAGAAGCGACTCCCCACGTACTTTCCCTGAGTGGGATTATGAGGCCCTAAAACAAAATCGCAGAATAAGCAAATGGATCCAGCAGAAGGGCCAAACGGACTGGTTTGCTTACCTCTTGGAACCGCGCAGAAGAATCAAACTCACCTTTAAAGAATTTTGGAGTTTACCTATGAATGAGAACTTTCAGAAGTTGGAACAATGATTCTTAATTAGTTGGCTTCCTCCATTTACAGCCATGTCTTTCGGATTATTCATTGGTGTTTTTGTTTTAGAAAATCTCGCTCGATCTCGACGAACCGATCTCTCTCTGCGTGGCCAACATCATTCAGGACTTTGTGTTGGGCAAATCCTACGAATTTGGTGATCCACAATTTCGCAAATTCAAAAGCCTCATTGACGCTGTATTGGCCGACGTAAGATGGACATGAAATACTGAGTAATACGCTTGTAAGCTTAAATTGTTAAGGTTGCTTCGAAACCAGTGCAACTCGTAAACGCTTACCCGATTCTGGCTTATCTTCCTATTCCAGCTCTCAGACGATACAAGGAGAACGGATTCGCACTGCAGAGGTGACTGAAATAATTTCACCATTTTCAGCTCTCGAACTTCTCAGAGAAGTATGTAATGATCTTCTCATCAGTGTACCTGGGTGATCTCGGACGCCTTTCACCCTTCATAAAAGGGTTTCAGAAAGGTTTTTCGAGAGCTCATGTGTATTCTTAGCCTCTGACTTTGCTTAGAAGAGCCTCGCATGACAACCAGCTACCGATAGACGTGGGACCGAGCTACCCTACCGATCCACGGTGAAGTCATATTCAATGAATGTATAACCCACCTCGATCTGCTCTCTCTTTATCCGGATGTTATTGAAAGCGACTAAGAGGTCCGATATATTATTTAACAATGTCAACGCGGCTCCCTGGGCCTGTATAACAGTGAATCCCAGCTCAACCAGCCTGTGAACATCGAAGCTAAAGAAGTACCCTAAAATTCCATAGATAAGAGCGGTTGAAAGTACCGGTGAAAAA